GGCAGAAACCAATAAAAAAAACAACAACCAAAAAAAAAAAAAAATAATAACAAAAAAAAAAAAAAAAAAAAAAAAAAATATAATAAAATTTTTTTTTAAAAAAACCCACATCGTATACACGAAAAATGTCCAACATTATTGCTATCGCCCAACTTCAAGCCGACTTGACATCTATTAACCCTGTATTGGTGACTCCTACTCCCTGCCCTTTCACTGACGGCCGGGATGTTTGTACAAAGGCTACTATAGCTCATCATCAGATGATGAGAGCTATTCAAACTAGAGATCGAATCGAAAGCCTAGTCCATGCCTATTACTTAGGCTCAATTTTAGACATAGCGTCAAGAAATCAATTGACTAACCTTCGGAATGTGATCTCAAGGCATTACTTCATCGGAGCCACCAGAACGTATTATCTTTTTGAACGATTTGGTGTGGAACAACTATATCGTACTTCCTATACCACGCTTAACATGGTTCGATTGCTGACCAATGATGATTTCCAATCGTTACTACAATAATACACTCGTAGTACTCGTGTATAAGGGTAGGAGAATTGTGAAAGGCTCGGGTTGCACCCAGATTATTTTTTTTATTTATGTTATTCTATTTTATTCCTATTCTTTTCTTTTGGTTTGTTCTACTCTTAGTAAGGTTTTACATAAATTATATTAGCCGTTAGTATAGTAAACAATATAAATCCAAAAGTAGTAAGTGGAAGGTAATCCTTACCGTAATGGTAAAATTGAATTTCGTGCATTTCGTGAATTTTGTGAATTTTGTGAATTTTGTGAATTTCGTGGATTTCGCGCTTTTCGAATCTTCCATAAAATTTATGGCTTTAGTTAAAGATAATTTATATTGTATAAAATAACAATGTAAAAGCTATAAAAACGGTACTTATCTGCCTGAAAATAAAGATAACTTTCACAGTTCAAACATATCTTAACTCTCAGAGTTCCAAAACCTTCGAAATTAGAGTAGAAGTGTTTGTCGTTAAACCGTTGTACCCCTTATTAGATAATTCATTCGTCGAATTCGTATTTTCTTGTCCCCGTAATCGTTGAATTTTTCGTATTGAATAAAGGAAGAGAAGGAATATTCATTAGTAAGCAGATCCCTTAAATACTAAGATCGCAGTTCCAGCCGCAGCAACCGCACCAGAAGAAATAAAATATTAATAAAGAAATATAGAGAGTAACCAAATCAACCAAAAGAAAGTAGAATACGTATACAAAGCCCAACACTATTTCTACAAGCCCAAATTACCCTGTTAACTCGGACCAAGTCATTCCACGCCTCAATCGTAGCCTTGCCAATATTAGGGTTTGGTTACTATAGCTATAGTGTTAGAGTAGTTAGTTAGTTTGGTAGTGTAGTGAGTTATTCTATCAACCCAGCAAGTTATTTGACGCAGATTGCACTTCCTCATTTGGTGGTGACTGTG